TTTTTTTTTTTTTTTTTAAATAAAGTGAGTCTTTAGGTGAATGAATGAAAAGAGCCACTTTTTCTTCCCTTCTTGGTCCTTGGATGCAAAAAAGGTGGCATCATAAATGGTGGCTGTTAGAAACAATAAATTTTATCTCCAAGACATTAAAAAATATTATGTTCTGGATTACTCTTCCTGGTTTGGCTTTCTCAACTGGGTAAGAAACTCCATTGTGATACTAAGTCAAGTCTCTTAGCACCAGCCCAGAATTTTTCCTACTACATATAGCAAGTAAGATTTTTGGAGGTTGCCCATTTATGTCAGTTATAGAAACATGGTGATTTTAGCAACTAGCAAAGATCCCTACAGGTCAAAACTTTTGGATTACCACCGTGGTCCTGTTGACAATAATACAGCAACCAAGTCCATACTGACTCCAGCAGTTCAATGACACTAAAGAGCTCATTTTAATCATCTTTGAAATCATCTTGGGGGTCGGGGGTCAGGGGGTCTTGGAATTGAACCCACAGCCTTTTCATGTACATCCCCAGCCTGTGTTATATATTTTTATTTATTTATTTTGAGACAGGATCTTGCTAAGTTATTATACTATGTAGGTTTAACTCAAATTTATGATCCTCCTGCCTCAGACACCCAGACTTGCAGGATTATAGACATGCACTGCATGCCCAATTCCAACATCATTTCATGCAGTCTTCTACTGAACCCAGTTTTAAATTAGTTAAAATACTACAGCTAAAAATTAGACTCTGTTAGAAGTCATATCAATAAATTCATCAATCTCACTATATTTCCATTCTTTTTAGAACCCATACATTTGAATCTCAGCATACCCAATGATAAAAAAATATAATAAATATATATTTTTAAAATTAAAGACATACTTTAAGACACATTGTTAATCTTACTTACAGTATACCCCTCCTTGCTTCAAACACATGTAGCCCAGCATTCGAGCCATTGTCTGCAGCAATTCTGAAAGTCCTTTTCTGTGAGCGTCTTTAGTTGTGCTATCATGGCTAGCTCTCTTTCAGGAACAACTTCCAAATGTTTACCTTTCACGGTCATTTTAACTTTGGGGGAAGAACTGAAGTGTGCATGGTGCCAAACCCAAAGAGTAAAGTAGAAGACACAAGCCCGCCTTTCCCTTGGATGGTACTTGGCAGCAGTGTTCACGGTATTTTTTGATCATATGTACCTGTTATACACATCCATGAAAGAAAACTCCCAGAATTTCTTCATAAAGTGGCAAGAATGATGAAGTAAGTCTGGTTAAAGAAGACTGCTGTGAGGAGTATTAAAAGTAATGTACATTTTACTCTAATAAATTTCTAAAATTTCAACATTCACCATGTCTTTTGATAGCATCTCATATCTTTCCAAGTTTTTATTAATATAAATTAACAAAATCCTACAAGTCTTTTGGTGTTTTAGCTGTACCTTCCCCGGTTGGAATTTCTACTTCTGGGCTGTGGTGGAATTTAGTGATATTTAGTTCTTAAAAAGGAATGAAGTAGGACTGGGACAAGAATATATTTGCCACCCCCTATCTGGAAGAAGATCATTACAGAGTCTCCAAGGAAGGTAGGGCTAACTTTAGTAGATGGAGAGAGGGGACTGCTTCTGTAGGAAGAGAATCTCAGTAGGGTTTGTACTTCATAGGTACTAGGGTTCATTATGCCCTACTCCCATTCTCAACATTTCATCTTTTCCTGTAAATGCTTAACTCTTGCCTAAGAGTTATTCTGATATGGCTGTTAATTCAGCTTACAATATAGTTCAGCAATCTGCAGTGTCTGACCCTTGGCTACATTAGCCTTGTGATTATAGATAATGGAAAATCTAGGACAATCACAGAAGATCCCTGCTTCTCTGACTGGGACCTGAGAAAAAAATTTAAACTATAAGATTGTTATTTGCTTTCCTTAAGCACTTCAAGGTTGTTTACATGTGGATATACCATAGCTTATATAATTTCACATTTCTTTATTAATGATTTCTCACTTTCGCCACCGAATTCCTAACTCAAGCCCAGAGCAAAGTGACAAAAAAGTCTCCAAGGAAGGTAGTAGTGGCATTAGCAGGACTGATTAGTGTATGAGCCAGTTCTCTGGACCTTAGGGAAGGCAAGGCAGGGAGAGCTCATCCAACAAAGTACGTACCCAGTTCCTACGGCAGCAGGGTCATCACAGCACATCAGGAGGCCCAACACTTCCCTGGAAGACGCCAGAGCCTCTGAATCTCAGAGGACAGGAGGAGCCTCATCTCCCAGCTGTATGTCCACACATCACATAGCCTTGCAGAGAACTCAGGAGACGGGCCAGCCCATTTACATAGGGAAAACTGACAGAAGTAAGAAGGTGACATCTGCCCAGAGGCAATCCTCCTTTAAGTAAGAGGCAGCAATAAATGTGTATGGCCAAGCAGCTCACTGTATTTTAAGGTGAAGCAGTTTGGGCATTACACTTAATTTAAACATCTTGAAATTGAGTTTTGCAGGTGATATGTGAAGTATTTTTTTCCCCACAACTCACTGAGTCCATTTGATTTCATCATCTCGAGTATTTAAAAGTGTAATACATTTTAACGGAAATTGCAAATTTGCCAGTGTCCTCTGTTAGGCTCCTTTAAATCTGCTATAATCATTTCTTTGGGCTGAAAATTCTTTGCTCATATATTTCTAACCTACAATCACTCTGAAGACCAGGATACAATTTAAAAGCCCTAAAGTTCTAAATTAGAATATGATTTATTGTGTGGCTCCAGCGCAGTGTAAATTTTTCCATGACTTTACCCAGAAAACAGATGCCCCTCAATACCCTCATGGAGAAGCCCCATCATTACCGCGACTCTCCATGTTGGAACAAAATGCACCCAAAGTTTTCTCCGACCTAGGACATCTAGAGGGAGAACTGAAAGCAGCAGCCTGTAAGCCTCCCAATTACAGTGTGGATAAGCAATCTGCAGTGAACAAAGCGCCCTCTCTCTAATAAGTAGGTGCCAACAACTTGCTTTCCTCAGGGCTGTTCTCTGAGCACCACCAGAAAGATAAAACCATCTCGTGCTTGGATCAGTCACTTTCCCTGAACAACACAGATGCTACCAATGAAGCACTGTGTGCAGAGGGCCCAGGGACCACCTGACTGATAAGCAAGGGAGGCAGAATCCCTGACCTAACCGTCACTTTCACGGAGAGAAAATTAAGTAAAGGTAGAGATAACCTGGGGTCTCACTCCAGTTCTACCCTCAGCTAAGTGTAACTGCGAGGCAGTCACTATTTTTTAAGACCCATTTTATCTCAATAAAACGATGGATGACATCAGCCCCTCCCCCCCTTAGTAGCTTGGTAAGAGGATAAGTCAATGGTGACAAACAACTTAAGATACTTTCAATATTAATAGATTATATAAAAACCTACATGATGCTTAGTTAGAAGCCACATTCATGAATCTCTTCCGTTTTCAAAGGGAGGCAGAGAGTGGACAGATCTGGAGTAGGGTCACCACCCTGACACAGGGGGGGCTCTGCCTAGAGTGTGGCAATAAAACATTTCACTCAGCTTCTGATTTCCTACCCTTATCAATAAGCAAAGGGCAACTCCACATCTGCCTACCTTCCAGAGCTATCACAACAGATCAAAATCAGAACAGAACAACATAAAAGCCCACGACTAAGAAAGCCAAAAGAAAGTGTGTTATAAACTGTGAAAGTCTTAGTTACAAAGAAAGCAGCATTAGAACTCACAGGGCCACTTCAACTTGAACACCCAAGCCAAGAACAGGACTTAGTGGCACAGAGGAAGCCGACTGGAGCCTCAGTACCTGATGGTGGTGCCTTGCAATCGGTCTATCTTCTTATTGAGCTCAGCAATGATGCTGTGGAGTTCTGTGATGCGTTCCTCATACCGCAGCGTCGTTCGCTCTTGGACATCCTCATGTTCTCTCATGAGGTGGGACTGTTCACACTGGGACCAAGAGAACAGGACAGAAGCGAAGATGAGTGGATGCACCTTTGGTCAATGATTCTACATTTTACGTCTTCAAACCTTCACAGCCTCTGTTGATTGTGCCCAAAGCAGAACACTCCTGCTTATTGGCCAGCAACCCAGGAGACACATCAACGAGACAGTTCTGTGAGGTCCCTGCCAGCTGTCTGAGATGCTGCTTTTCCTGCACTCATGGTTTCTCTGGAAACCACCCCTCAAGCCATGGCACGGTCTCTGTGGGCCTACCCAAGTAGCCTACTTTCCCTTAGCCAACAAATAGGCAAGAGGCCCAAGCTGGATCCATCAGATACCTTCCCTGTGAATCTGAATCTTAAGCAAATGAACCTAAAGTTGCATGGTACTGATTCATAAATAGCCTTGGACACTGTCCTTTAGCTCCTACTTCTTATATATTGCTTTATGGCTGTTCAGTTTTCCCTTTACCAATTCAGTCCTTCTTTACCAGCTATTTTTCAATCACATAACCCAAGTGACATGACAACATGACTTATCTGGCTGGATTATGTGTGAATTTAATGCTTTCCAATATTCTTTCTTCCCAGACCATCAATTCCCAAAAGGCAGGACAAAGTGTTTTCAGTATTTAACCCTAGCCTCTGGCATGAGGCCTAGTTTGCTGTGGGTGACCTAGAAGTGTTATGGAACGAATAAACCGCAATGTATCACACTGTCATGAAAGCTACTTTACAGAAACAATGACAAAAGAGGCTGAAGAGCTTTCTTCACTCTGCTTGATGGACTACGAGGCAGCAGATGCTATAAAAAACATTTTTGTAGACAGAGTTTATAATCTGTTCACTTTCTTCAGTTCTCTCCATCCTCCTAAACCCCCACCCATCACTATGGAGTTAATCTCATTTATAGAACAATGAATCTCTCCTCAGGGAAGGAGCAAGTGGTCTAGCTTGTGTCCTTGTCCACCACACTCAGCTCTAATTAATTTCCTGTCCAGTGGAGGAATTTTAATTCCATTTTCAACAAAGTTTTTCTAAAGACCCATATGTTTTTGTCAGCTTTGTATTTTCAGGCTTGATAGCAGGCAGGGAAGGGTACAGACCTTTTACCCACTACTGTACCTCTAATGTCTCCCCTATCCCTAGACCTGCCAAATTTCCAAAGGTGTAACTCAGGGAAGGAAACAAGTTTTCACAGATAAGCAGAATGCTATACTCAGGCTATCTCAATACTGAAACAGAAGTACTCAACAAAGACATCTGACAGACACATTGGTATAATTAGCAAGGACTACATGTATGAATTTGACCTTCAAAAGTAGCTTGACCAGTACAATGTAATTTCCTAGGAGTTACTCAGGACTGCAGAAACAAGATCAGAGGCAACAAGGTTGTAGGGTGCCGTGTCACAGACCTCAGTGGGTAGGTACCCTCTGAAAAGTACTGCTGTGAACTACTGTTTTTAGTGACAACCTGAAACATCAAAAAATATCTGCTCAAGGTCAGTACATGGGCAATAAGCGGGGCCAGAGGCGAGGAAGAAGATGGAGTAAAAGCCACCTGTACACGCTGGGAGTGTAGCTCAGCTACACAGTGCATATCTAACATGCACGAGGCCCGAGGTTCAATCCCCAGCACCAAAAACACAGAGCACATTTACGTGAAAGCTTTCCTAACAGAGTAACGTGCCATGAACACTCTTTCCGTGTGTTTAAACACTTTTTAATCCACAATGCACCAGGTTTTAAAAGGAGAGAAGTTCACAAAAGGAGAGTCTCAAGAACAGTTTCCCCACATTTCTCTGGAGCATACCAACAGCAGAACACTACTGCTCTCAGTCCCCACAAAGATCTATAAGCGCTTGATATTGGTCATTTCTCTTTTTTTAACACATGTGTGTCTTATGTATTTCACTTAAGAGTCTGGCCTCAATATGCATCCATTTTCCTATGAATGACTCTAGTTTCTCATTCTTTACGGCTGAGTAATACTCCATTGCATAGAAAAATCACATCTTCTTTATCCAATATTCAACTGATGGGCAACTGAGCTGTTTCCAAGTTTTAGCCATTACAAACTGTGCCGTTATATACATGGGTGCACATATATCATTGTGGTATGACTGTTTTAATTCTTTTGGAAAGATACCCAACAGGGGAATAGCTAGGTCAAATGGAACCTCTAATCCTAGTTCTCTGAGGTATCTCCATACTGATTTCCATAGTGGTTGCACCAGTCTGCACTCCCACCAACAATGGAGAAGGGTTCCTTTCTCCCCACAACCCGTCAACATTTGTTATTGGTTGATTTGTTGTTATCAGCCATTCTTTCAGGGGTGAGGTGGAATCTCAGCGCTGTTTTCATCTTCATCTCTTCAATGACCAATATTGGTTTTACTACCATTCCCAAGCTGTGAGGTTGTCATGTACACATGCATGCAAAGTGGGCCCTTTCATCAGATCCAGGTTTTTTTTTTTTTTTTTTTTTTTTTTTTTTGGTACCGGGGATCGAACTCGGATGCTTGCTCATCCAAGGAAGGCAGCAGATCCACTGAGCTAAATCCCTGGCTCAGCTCTAGATCTTGTAATGATTACAGCACAATGCCCAGTCTCTGACCTGGACTCTGTCCATGCCATGACTCCTTTATCTTTGCCATGTTGCTGGTTCCTCTTTCATTTTTTACATTGAGTTCTTTAGGGCAAGAGCTTTATGTGAAATGTTTCCCTTTCCAAATTCAATTAGCTCCCTCTCTCCCTTAATCCCTTACTCATTCTTCCTTCTTTGTGATGTTTACAGATCAAAAGACCACTACCAACACCCACACAGGTAAGAAACTGCAAAATCCAAACAGTGAGGCAGTCTAAGTGTTTATATGAGAAAATGGCACACAATAAATTGACAGCCACCAAAAGACAATCCTGGTATCCCTGGACACTTACAGGCTACCCAGGTCCCAGAGATACCAGATGGAAAGCAAGAGTATGAGCCCTCAGCCTGGTGCTTATGTATAAGAACAAGAGACAACAGGAATCCTGGAGATGCAGTCGGAAAGAGTGAAAAGACTGGAAAACTGTAGACTGGAAATTCAAAGGTTCACTTGGGAGTAGTAACAAAACTATATTGGAGGAAAAAATTCTCTTAGCTGAGGGCAAAGTAGTCTGGCTTACATTCCTGTATTTTTCCTTAAGTATTTTTTTTAATGATAGAAAGCTTTATAATTTAATACTTCCTCTACAGACATCAGACAATTCTTGATTTCCCACAAAATCTAAGGGACTTGCTGGGCGCCATGGGGGAGGTGATTATGACACAGACTTTGAAGGGAACTATGTTTACAGTATCCAAGTGGACTAAAACATTCTCAGATTTGTGGAGAACAAAAGCATGCACAGGAGTGGGGTGGTGAGGAGAACAGATGTTAGAGTAGTCACAATACTGGAAAAAGTCACTATCAAACCAATCCTACCCCGAGGTGCCTGAAAGGCTAGGATGGTCCACCTATGCAAATCAACACTCTCTTCTGAACATACTTCACTCCTTTGTGCACACTCATTGTATCAACCAAGGCTGAATCAGTGATCTCAAAGCTCAGGAAAAGCCCCTTGAGTACCTCCAAGAGGTGATGCAGGGAAAAGTGGAGCTACGCTCATCAAACCAACAGTGGAGGAAGAAACAAGCCACTACCCACAGGAGCCACAGAATGAGACAGAACAGCCTTGCTAAACAGCCCCACTAAAGTGCACAAGAGTCAGCTCCAAGAGTGCAGCAGGTTAGTGCAGGAGAGGTGAAAGCAGAGTGTGACCACCATTCTGTGCACAATCACTGCCTGGCCCACTCTGGCGACATCCCACTCAGGTAGGACTGGCCTGTTGAGATGAAACCCAATCCTCTTACCATACTCTAGTATGGTGACCAACCCGGTGCATCCACCACACAGAGTTTCCACACCCTGGGAGGGGATTTTCTGATCTGGAAAGATGTGTAATTTCACAAGAACACAGGCTAGGCCAAGAGCAATACCGCACCTCCATTTCAGTGTCTCCTATGAACACGTTTCAGAAAACCACATTTGGGAAGGTGACACAATGGAGAAAACTAAATATGAGAAAGGGGGAGCTATTTTTATGATTATGAGTTACCAACGCATACATTTTGAATTTTAAAAATTTTATATCTACCTCCTAAAACATCTGTCATTCCTTTTTGAAATGCACAGTACACTACTGTTTCCCCACTATATACCACCACATCAGAACTTCTTGCTTTTATATAACTGAAACTTAGTAACCACAGATTAGCCTCCCCATCTCTTCCTCTCCCCAGCCCAAGCCTACTGTAATCACCATTTATAAAAAGGCTGACCTTTCTCCAATGTAAGCTCTTAGCACCTTCACATAAAACCATCTGGCTATAATTTTGGGGGCTTACTTCCCAGGTTTCTATTCTACACGCCTGCCTTTGTCAGTGTCACGCTGTTTTGATTATTACAGTTTTATACTCTCTTTTCAACTTTCTTTTCACTGGAGATTGTTTTGGTGATTCCATGTAAATTTCACAATTATTATTCCAGTTCTGTGAAGAATGTCAGTGGTATTTTGAGAAGACTGCTTTGGGATAGGGCTGGGGATGTAGCTCAGTGGTACCACACCTGCCTGGCAAGTGCAAAGTCCTGAGTTCAATAGAAGAAGAAGAAGAAAGAAAAAGAAGAAAGAAGAAAGAAGAAAGAAGAAAGAAGAAAGAAGAAAGAAGAAAGAAGAAAGAAGAAAGAAGAAGAAAGAAGAAAGAAGAAAGAAGAAGGAAGAAGGAAGAAGAAAGAAGAGGAGGAGGAGGAGGAAGAAGAAGAAGAAGAGGAAGAAGAGGAGGAAGAGGAGGAAGAGGAGGAAGAAGAGGAAGAAGAGGAAGAAGAAGAGGAAGAAGAGGAAGAAGAGGAAGAAGAGGAAGAGGAGGAAGAGGAGGAAGAGGAGGAAGAGGAGGAAGAGGAAGAAGAGGAAGAAGAGGAAGAAG